CTTGTGATGGTCTTGACTACAACACTGGATTATATGTACATGTATGTAGTATGTGGAGTTACTGTACATCAGGTGTGTAGAGTCACCCTTCACAAGCCAGCACTTAGGCTGTTAAATCCACTGAACCATGACAGATACAGACAAGAAGGAGAAGAAAGTTAACTTTCATTTCATCAAATCATAAAGAAATAAAGATCTGAATTCTGATCTTGACAGTTTCTTTGAATTTGTCTAGAATGATTTGGAAGAAACTCCTGGTCCTACACCTTGAAAGACCATTTGTTTTTCATATGTGATTCCAGCTATGCATAATGCATGTCTCAAACAATACATGCACTGCTCAGATACTTACAATTGCTCTCCGGCAGAACTCTTCTCTCAAAAGGTTAGCCCTGTAATTGATGAGAAACAATATTAACTGTGCAACATGTATTCCTAAGTACCAAAGACAGACTGAGCTCTCTGATTGCTACAGAGGATGAAAGGCCACTTGTTCAGGTAAGTGCAAGATTATTTTTCTGAAAAAGAAGGCTAGATTTTGATTTTTGAGGGCCATTTAGGGGCACCATGTAAAAGCACAGTGTATAATTGGAACTCCAAAATGATGCAACCAATAAACATCTACTTTCTAGGTTGTGATACATCATGATGAAGTGGTATTATCTCCCTCAATCAATGATTTTTCATTAACATTTTTCTAATTGATGCCTGAGTGATATTTGAACTTGATGCCTTCATGGTAATATGACTTTTGCCAACTGTACTTTAGCTGGGCCCAGCGCTGTACAGTGCGACCAAACAGTCTCATTTGTGCCCCAAAAATAACGTTGTGCGAAAAAATGTTTAATTCTTATCGCCAATGGCAACCATGATTTGTGCCTGTTCATCACCCACCTTGTCAGTCATATTTCATGAATGATCACTGCCCAGTTTTGTCCTATGTGCACTGCGGACCGAGCAACGTGTCTCTATATACAATCACACGGTTTTTCTCTGTCTTACTGTGTACACAGCATGATCTCAAGTTAACTGCAAGATAGCTTACATACAGGTACACACACACACACAGGTACTAGGTACTCAAGTTGACAGGTTTGTGGTCGCAGCCTGTATAGAGTGTGTATGGGGAGCTGAGGCATTTTGCATGCTCATAATGCACTAGCAGTCTACATGTATGCATGCCACGATTCCAGTGCCAGTCCAGTCCCAGGTATGAAATGCTCAAATGAAAGAGAACAAACATGCCTTGTCTTTTCTGTCAGCTTTTTTCATAAATTGGTTGCCATTTTGGATTTAGTCCACAAGAAAAAAATTCAAAGCCCGTCTGTCCTGCGGATAATTGACAGAATGTTTCTGTGTGTTTTGTCAGATTGAGTACATGCAACTTGTGTATTTTGCAAATTCATATACAGTATATACAAAAAATTGACCTGGCGCCTAACTGTTTTTTTCTAGGAGCCAGTGGCTCCTCATTTAATTTTTCTCTGTACAGCACTGGCTGGGCCCACATAAAAGTGTACCATGTGCACATGTATGTGTACTTGATTGTAAGGTTTATACCCTACAATAAGCCTTACAGTTCTAGAACAGTGGAAGTAATGTATATCACATGGATTATAAATAAATATGGATAAACAAAATGAATGAAAAAATTCAATGTTTGAATCTACAATCGGACATAAAACATTAAATTACATTCAGTTGGCCTTCGAATAAAGAAGGCCAACCTAGGGCTCTTAGTCTTATAAAAAATACACCTTTTTGACACGTTTGAACAGGTAATATAAGCCTATGCCATCTGTTAATAAATAGTAGTATGTCTAACTTCATAAACTTTGTATCATGGATGGCATGGTTGTGTACTTGTGGAGCACAACATCCATGTACACGTCAGGCCTGTAGTAAATTAATAGTATACCGACTATACGCATGGTGGACCCATGCGTAGCCACGGTCTGATGGCGTGCAAGCATGCAAGCGTGGCAAGTCAAAGGAACAAAGCGGTGAGACTGAGAAACGCATACTTTACTCGAACCATGAATATATCCCTGATTCTTTGCCTGAAAGGAGTAGAACTGACCTATATCTGTCTTGTACAAAGTAAACTCCCCATCCTGCAAGGATTACAGCCGCTGTTGATTTTTTCCAGTGGTTCCGTACTGTCTTTGCAACCTTCACAATGCGCGCTGCCATGTTGATTTCTCCGCACGCGCACTATTGAGGGCGCTCCTTTTTTTTTTAGCAGAACGAGGTCCTCGTGAGATCCCGGTGACTTTGAAAGGCCGGGACTGAGCAAATCGATTAAAAAAACTTTGCAGAAAATTAAGAATTTCCACTGAAATTGGGCCTGCAGCATCAATGAGCGGAAAATAACTCTTGTAACTTTTGGTCCAATTGTTTCCCTTAAAAGTAGTAAAGAGAACCAAAAAAATTAAAGAATTAGACCGGGCACTTTCAAAGTCTACTTGCAAGCACGTAGAATAATTTCCTGATGTGAAGACTGGTCGTTGCCAGGCTTTCTTCCGGGGTGGGGGCACTTTTTTCCAGGGTAAAAATTTCCAGGTGAAAATCACTCATCCACAACGAACTATCAAGCTATTGATAGTAAAAGGGGGTCATTTCCAGATATATTCAAGCAAATTAACGATTTCATTCCCTCTCTTCTGTTTTTCCGATTTTCTTCACTTCAGTCTATTTTTCTCTAGGGGAAGCTCCCTTGCCCTCTTCCCCTTACGAAGCCGATGTGTTGAGGCTGGGGTCAAGGAAAGAATGACTACACACTCGTGTGTGGGGAGTACATCTGATAGTATATTGAAGATCTCGTTTGATGATGCCCGCGGCCAAAGAGCAACAGTAAAGTTGTCGACAGCTGTCGAAGTCATTACAACCGCAAACGTCTGATAACAACATGTCGGTGAGGGTTCACGATTACTGGCTTAACAACGTGATGTAGACAAACCCGTTCACTTGCCTCGTGTAGTATAAGCTATTCCAATGGCGCATCAGAGATGAAAGTTGGCTCACTTTTGAAATTATCCCGCAACCTTTTTTTTATGTAGAGTCTGGAGGGTAGGCGTGGTTTGATGCTATAGAGGGGGTGTTACAGAAGCACCATGGACAACATCGGAGGCTTGTTGAATGCAGGCACGTGACATAACCAGGGTCTTGTGCATGTTAAATTGCCAAATTAGCTTAGCAGGCGACTTGGAAATACACTTGAAAATTGTTTTCATTGTTTCTATCATTCAATTTTCACCATCCTGGTTTGGAAGTTATGAAAATTTGTCCCGTCCCAAAATTTGCAATTTACGATCCACTTTGCTGCCCGTTTTACGTCTATCGTCCCTATCACTTGTCCCAATCAATGTCTCAACATGAGTTGCTTTTTACCACTCGTTCTGCGTGCGCCACTGACTTCGTTCCACTCCGCCGTGTGCTCCAGGGAGCGAGCATCCGTTTACTTAGACTACACTCGTTTTGGTTGAATGTCACAGGAAGTCACGTGGTGTCGCTCGTCTACTGCCGAACAAATGTAAAATACTCAGAAGCTGAGAAAAAGAAACGTGACTTTTTCTGACAAAATCCCCCACGTCCCTGACAAGATTTTGAAGGACTAGAATGATTCTTTTAAATTAAAAAGACCCTGAGTGGAAACAATATTTATCTTTTTTGCGCCAACCTTTGATGAAATTGATTTTCCTCGATTTTAATGTACCTGTTTTTTGCATTGCATGTATTACACATTTTTAAAGAAAGTGTTTCTACAAGGTAAACAAAAAAAAAAGAATCATTTTCTAAACTTTTTGAAAAAACTTGAGTTGAATCATCTTGACTTGGCTGTATTTTTGACTGAAACACCCCGATGGCATTTCACCACAAGTCCCCGGCCACCGCGAATCCTATGACTTGCAATTTTTCCTGAAACGAAGGTTTTTAAATGGTGTGATTTTATCGGCCGCTAGCCGTGACAGTGCCCCCGTAACCCCAAACACCGAAGGAAACCGTAAAGTTGACTGTGTCAGTATAATTCTCCGTGTAATCTTCAGTGGTTAAGAACTCCCGAATCAGAAAAACAAACTGGGGTTACGTAATCGACTAAAAACTCAAACAAGAAAATGTAAAAAGTTCGATAAATAGATAACTCTTGGTCATTTGTAACCTTGGCCAAATTTTGGCGACTCGTGTACAGAGAAGCCTGAACTCCTCTTAAAAAAAGCTAGGACTGAAAGCCTAAAATCAAAATCCAATGGCTCCTTTTCAAGCTCTAATACACAATAGTTCCACTTCAATCATTATCTGCATCTGGATAACAAAGTCATTTCATCTGACGCTGAGGGCTTGTGAAAGATTCCTAACAAATTTGTTCTTGGCGCACAAATTTGCAAAATGGTAATTACTGTTTGGCCTGATTTGTGTGTGTGTGGTTTCAAGGAAGCCCGTCTTTACATAACCCGTGCTAGTCTTGGCTAACCTCATAGTCACGGTCGTATAAATACATGAGAAGGACCAAAGTCCAAGCTGTTATCATAGTTTAAAGATTATCAACTCAACATTCCGAATATATACTCCACCCTACGACAGCATCACTCCATTAATGACTCCAGCGCTCACTTTAGCAGTTTAATGAGAACAATAACACCTCTCGAGACAGTTTTGACACGCTGGGAATTTATGGCACGGTAGGAAATTACTGGGAAAACTCAGTGGCAGTTTACAAAGATAACAGCACAAGAACTCAGGAAGGTGAGATGATTGCTTATAGACAAAGCAGTTTAACACTTTTAAACGCAATCTTACAGTGACAATTTGTCTTTGTTTGAATTACATCATGCCTCATTTTAAAAAGCAAGACATGCGTAAAAATGGTGATGTACTTGTATAAATGACATGAGGGTTGCATCTCGTGAAATTGAAAACGGAGAAAATGCCTGAAGCTAAAACATGCCATATTGAAGAATAATGAACCATATTTCACAAACTGCATTGACCTTTTAAACATTGTTATAAAGTCTATGATGATCAATTAACTTCAAATGAAACGTTGAATTTTTAAAGTTTTTTTGGTAGTTGTGTTGCATTATAAACGTTAATCGATTGGGATGACCTGTTTATAAATGTATTGAATTTCCTCCGACAGTAAGTTGCTGTTTGACCGAGCGTGTCAAAATGAGCAGTCCGGACGGCCCTACAATGTCCCCGCCTCGACCCCGGGTGGAGTCCAACTTGGCGGTCAACCGGCTCCGGTCTGAGAGTAGACGGTCCCGGGCTCCCAGCGTGCTGGACAGAATGGCCGAGAAGGTACGGTCAAAATTCTCTCTTCATTTTGCCGCATCATTGCTGTACAGACAGAGAGAGGTTACATCAGACATAAAACGTAAAATGCATGTTAACACTGGCAACATACCATGGTCTGTATTACGATTCTACATGTAACGAACTAAGTGAACCTTGTCAAGATGGAACAGTGAAATTACGCCGCTTAAGGTACTTTGTGAATGACAAATTTTTGTAAGTACCAAAACTGAACAGCACTGCGAACAGTAACGAAATAGGTGTAGTATTGCCGTCTGGCAAAATTTAGAATTAGACATTAAAACCCTGTCATATTCATCTGTATGTACAGATGGTTTTGGAAAATGTAGAAATTGCGAATGATTATGTCTTATTCCGACTCAACCTTGGTGACCCTGCAGATAGGTGCCGATATGACTTTGGCTGCCGAGTACTACGAACCGGCACAGGGGACTGCGGTGCCAGAGCCGGATCCGCTTCCAGAAATCGATCAAGAATCGGGCAAGAAACTCTCCAGAAAGTAAGAGAATTACCCGCCGACGGCGTTCATAAAAAGACATACACAAACTTGTAGCTGGAAGTTAATATTGACGGTCCACAAAACTGGTACACAAAATTTTCCAACAGGCTAACTGCATTTTGTCTCTTTGTTGTCGTTTATTTCAGGCAAAGGCGAAAACTACAGAAGTAAGTGCCTACAAATTTCAAAAGCTATCGCCTTGTCATCTGCCACTCTTCCCCACAAGACCAACTCACTGAATAAAAGTCAAACTCGTCAAAATTAGGCTATTCACGATTAAAGAGTAATGTAGGTCATTTGTTTTGGGCAAGTTAACTGTTTTTATTAAACACTGAATTCCACGGCCGTTGGGATATAGTGATAAAAATCTCCATGTGGTTTCATTAAAGCGTGGCACTAAACTTGGCTATCAAACTGGACAACAAAATTATCATTCAGATATTGTTTCCACATCATCGCCACTTTGCCAGGTCAAAACGCAGGGAACAGTGACAGAAAAGTTGAATTTCGAAAGTCAAACTTTAAGAAATGTTCCTTGTTTCAGGGAACTGACGATGAAAGAGACAGGAGAGTCGGCTAAGGAATACGACTCGCGATGGACGTCCATCTACATTGTCTTCCTCTGCGTCTTCTTGTCAGGAACCGGTCAGTAAAGACAATCAACCTCCACCAATTTGGACA